TCTCTCTCTCTCTCTCTCTCTCTCTCTCTCTCTGTGTGTGTGTCTGTCTGTGTATTTTGTCTCTCTCTCTCTGTCTGTGTCTGTCTGTCTGTCTCGCTGATATCCACTCACCTCTGAACTCCTAAGTCTTCCTTATCATGTTCTTCTTCTTCTTCTTTGTTTCATCTCTTTCTCCTTTATTACTTACACCATCCCTTCCTCCTTGCCCATTTATTCCTTCTCCTCCTCCTTCTCCACCCCTTTCTTCTCCCCCTTCTCTCCATCTCCATCTTTTCCTCCTCCTTTCTTCTTGTCCCTCCTCTTCTTCTTTTCCCTAATTCTCCACCTCCACCTCTTTCTCCTCTTCCTCCACCTCTTCTTCCTCATCCACCACCTCCTCCTCTTCTTCCTCCACCTCTTCTTCTTCTTCCTCCTCTTCCTCCTCCCTCTTCCTCCTCTCCATCACTCCCCTGTCATCTGCCCACCTCTGGTCTTATAGCAGGGTGTGACTATAACTCTAGTGTGATAGAGGGTCCGTCAGGGCTTATTAGGGCTCTCTCTCTCTCTCTCTCTCTTTCTCTCTCTCTCTCTCTCTCTCTCTCTCTCTCTCTCTCTCTCTCTCTCTCTCTCTGGTATATCTGTTTGCGCACCTGTCTATCCATGTATCTGTGTATCTACCTACCTGTCCGTTTTACCTGTCTGTCTGTCTGTCTGTCTCACAAACATCACTGAAAATAATAACCACCACAACCCGTGGATTCACAGCCATAAAAACAAAAAACAAATTAAAAACAAACCCAGCGTGAAATTCTCCCCTCACCCCTTCTCACCCCCCTCTCACCTCCCCCCTCACCTCTCCCCCTCTAACCCCTCCCTCCCCCCTGGCTACACCGAAGAGCCAATTGGGTTCACTTTACCGGGGTTTTGATAGTCTTAAGGGATCGTATATATATTTTTTTTCTACAACTTTTTTTCTCGTAATTTTGGTCATAAGTGAAAAAAATTATCCTTACGTGTATAGTCATCGAGTAATTTTGCCGCCATTTTGTTTTTGTTGTCCTTGTATCGTAGTTTAAGTGAGGAGTTAAGATAAGTTATGTAATAAAGGAAAAAAATTGTATCGTAAGGATTTTTAAGAGAAGTTTCGACCCAACATATTCCAACTTACGAGAAAAACTCAAACTAAAGAATAAATAAAAAAATCAAATATTTTGTCGTAACTTAAGTGAAATAGTCATATAGAATCACATAATTAACTCACTTAAGTGTACCTGTTACCTGTATTTTCGTGTCTCTAATTCAGAGTAAAAATTTAACCTACAATACCTCAAAAGGGTGAAAATTAAACCTACAATACCTCAAAAGGGTGAAAATTATACCTACAATACCCCCAAAAGGATAATTTAACCTACAATACCTCAAAAGGGTGAAAATTTAACCTACGATACCCCCAAAGGCTGAAAATTTAACCTACAATACCTCAAAAGGGTGAAAATTAAACCTACGATCCTTTGAAATAGAAAAGAAGAAAAATAACCCTACGATCTTTGGAGGTTTTGAGCCGTGACCACAAAACAAGGCGACCCGACCAAACTCTATAAGCGATTGGATCCACTTCAGTGTGAGCCGGAGCGGTGTGGGATCCCGGTGTGTGGTGTTGGGAGGCTGTTGTTTCACACCCATTGATTGTTGTAATAACCTGAGTCCTTCCCCAATCACGGTGTGGGGGTGGGGTGGGGTGGTTGTAGAGGGTGGATGTAGGTGTAGGGGGAGATATAGGGAGGTGGGTGTGGGGAGGAGGGGGAGGATATGTAGGGGAGTGATGAGGAGGGGTGAGAGAGAGAGAGAGGAGGGTTGAGGGGCAAGTGAAGAAAAAAAGAGTAGGAGTGTGAGGGAAGAACGTGACAAAGGGGAACGACATGTAGAGTGAGAGAGAGGGAGAGAGTGAGTGAGAGAGAGAGGTAGGTAGGTAAAGGTCTATCTGTAAGGCTTCTGGCTCCGGGCTACACACAGCTGACTCCTCTCTCCTCCCCTCTCCTCTTTGCCGCCTTTGTTGGAGACCTGGGAGACCATTGAACCTAGGAGATCATTGACCTGGGAGATACTTGGAGACACTGGCCTAGGAGACTCTTTTTTGCATTTGGTATACCCGGAGACCAGTCATAGGATACCTAAAAGACATATATATATATATATATATATATATATATATATATATATATATATATATATATATATATATATATATATATATATATATATATATATATATATATATATCACTTAGGAGATCAAAGCACCAGGTTCTCCAAATTGCTCATTGCTGGAGATCAGAGCCTTTTGGAGACCTGTGCTCTTTCTCTCTCTCTCGTTGTCGGTGTGTGTGCTGGGGGTGAATTTATGTAGGTGTATGTGTGTGTGTGTATGGTATAGGTTGACGGTGTATGTATGTGTGAGGAGGTCAGGTCAGGTCAGGTCAGGCCTGGATGGTTGAGATATTAGTGGATGATGTTTGGCCAAGCTAATGCCTTTGATAGTGTAGCGTCCCCTGATTAATGTGTGGCGGGCCTGGTGATTCTTCCTTCCATTTCCCTCCTTTCCCTCCATATCCTCCCTTCCTCGTCTTCCCTCCCTTTCTTCTTCTCTCCCTTCTCTCCCTTTTTTCTAGGGAGAGAGTGGAGGGAGCAGGGGTGAGAGAGGAGGGAGGAAAGAAATAAGGATATGGGAAAGAGGGAATGGAAAGGATGGTGAAGAAGAAGGGGAGTGAGAGTAGGTCAAGGAGCAAGGGAGAGAGAGAGAGAGACGGACAGACAGACGGACGTGTGCTGGGCTGCAGGAGTATTAAGAACTATAAAGAATGGCCAGGGTACTCTCCTTCCTTCCTTCCTTCCTTCCTTCCTTCCTTCCTTCCTTCCTTCTTTCCTTCCTTCCTTCCTTCCTTCTTCTTTCTTTCCTTCCTTCCTTCCTTCCTTCCTTCCTTTCATTCATTCCTTCCTTCCTTCTTTCATTCCTTCCTTCCTTCCTTATTTCATTCCTTCCTTCCTTCCTTCCTTCTTTCATTCCTTCCTTCCTTCCTTCCTTTTTCATTCATTCCTTCCTTCCTTCCTTCCTTCTTTCATTCCTTCTCTTCCTTCCTTCCTTTCATTCATTCCTTCCTTCATTCCTTCTTTCATTCTTTCCTTCCTTCCTTCATTCCTTCCTTCCTTCCTTCTTTCATTCCTTCCTTCCTTCCTTCCTTCCTCGTCCTACTACCACCACCACTACAGTACTACCAGCACTACCTACCTCTACCACAACTACCACCACCACTACCATTACTACCACCACCACCACCACCACTACAGCCACTACCAGCACTACCACCACTCTACCACAACTACCACCACCACTACCATTACTACTACCACCACCACCACTACAGCCACTACCAGCACTACCACCACCACCACCACCACAGCTACCACCACCACCACAGCTACCACCACCACCACCGCAACTACCACCACCACCAACCATAATTCACCAGTGTCTAAGCCAAAGTGGCGACTGAATGGGAAACTTTCTTGATGTGTGTGTGTGTGTGTGTGTGTGTGTGTGTGTGTGTGTGTGTGTGTGTGTTACATGCTTTGAGAGGAAATATAATTACACCTTCAATCCTTACAACACACACACACACACACACACACACACACACACACATCCAGGACTTTGATCTCTCACCTATAGACTTTATTTACTGAATTATTGTATTACCCTTGAGAGAGAGAGGTGTTAGCTTAGCCCAGGGGGGAGGAGGGTGAGGGAGCGTAGGGGGAGGGTGGGGCATGGATCCTCCTCCCCCAAGATGATATGAAGCAGCTTTGGTCCGGATGTGTGTTCGTGTACGTGGGAGTGAGGAAGGGAGGAGAGGGGAAGAGAGATACGAGGCGGTGGGGGGCTGGAGAAGTGTTGGGGATTGTGTGGAAATGGAGGAGAGGAGGTGGTTGAGAGAGAGAGAGGGAGATGGGGGATGGTAGGGGGAGGTGAGAGAAAGTGGGAGCCGGTCTCTACGTCTTCTAGATGCCTCTCAGACCAACAATACTGACCTGCCTCCTCTCCGTGTCAACGAGGAATTCACTCAAAAACATATATATATATATATATATATATATATATATATATATATATATATATATATATATATATATATATATATATATATATTAAGTTGTAGTGAGGTCTATTAGATGTGAAACTTCTATATATTGGACTATACCTGTTATATGGAGGTTGAACTGTTATTATTATTATTATTATTATTATTATTATTATTATTATTATTAGTTATTATTATTATTAGTTATTATTGTTGTTATTGTTATTGTTATTGTTATTATTATTATTATTTTTATTATTATTTTTGTTATTATTATTATTATTATTATTAGTTATTATTTGTTGTGGTTGAATGCGGGTGCGCCAAGTCCGTAGACTTGCTAGTGATAGATTATTACTGTATTGTTATTAGTTTTTTATATTATTATTATTATTATTATTATTATTATTATTATGAACGCTACAATACCCTCCCCCACCCCCCCACAGACGCAAATCACGCATGGAGATGGTGCGTATCTCGGCAGCCGTTATGGGTATTGAGTTCTGTTACGCCGCCGAGACCGCCTTCGTCTCCCCGACCCTCCTGAAGATCGGCGTGAGACACAGACACATGACCTTGATCTGGTGCCTCAGTCCCTTCATCGGCTTCTTCCTCACGCCTATATTAGGATCTCTGTCGGATAATTGTCGCTCGAAATTAGGACGGAGGCGGCCATTCATCATCCTCCTCTCGATCGGTATTATCCTCGGTAAGTGGTCATGTTTTTTTAAATCTCCTTATCCTCATTGAGTGGCCTTGGGTTTAATTCACGTGGGGTTATCCTTACTGAGTGGGTTGTATCTGTTGGTTATGCTCGATAAGTGGCATTGTTTTGATTTTTTAGCCTATATATTATTATTATTATTACCTATCGGTATTATCCATGATGAGTGGCGTTGTTGCTCATCATAGGGATTATCCTCGGTAAGTGGCCTGTTATGATCTATCAGTATTATCCTCACTGAGTGGCCTCATGCTATATGGATTTAATCTCATTTAAAAAGGTCGAGAATTTATGTGTCTAGTTAGTGCTTAATCCCCCCCTGCTTTGTCTGCCTCTCTGTGTCTCTCTCTCACACTATCCATCCGTCATTTTGCCTCTTTCCTCCCTCTCCTCTTCCTCCCTCACCCTTCCTTCCTCTCTCACTCTTCTCCTCCATCATCCTTTCCTCCCGACCCCTTCCACTCTCCTCCTCCTCCCTCCTCCTCCCTCCTCCTCCTCCTCCTCCTCCTCCTCCTCCTCCTCCTCCCTCCTTTCTGAGCAGCCGCCGAAGCTCTGAGTAACTTTCCTTGTCACCCTGGTAGCTCGGTATTTACAAGTTTAGTAAGACCTTCTCACTATACGTCTTTCCCCTCTTTTGGTTAACACTTTTCTGCCTCTGCTTCTCCATCCCTTTTTTGGGGGCACTTTTTCCTTTGCTATTTATTTATTTTTTTTGTTTTTTGCATTTTTGTTTTTTTTTATTTTTGGGGATAATTTTTAGTTTTTTATCTTTTCCATATTCTTTTTATTTTTTATTTTAGGGCATGTTTCTGTTTTTTTTCTTTTTCCATCCGTTTTTTTTGGCCTTTTCCGCTTTTATTTACTTAATATATATTTTTTAATTTGTCTGTCTATTTTTGCAATTTTTTCTCTTTTCTATGTTCGTTTTTTTTTTCTTTTTTTCTTTTCATTTTCCATTTCATTTGTTCTGTTTTTAGAATTTAATTTTTTCTCACCTTTTTGTCTCTTTTTTTGCACTTTTTCGTTTCTGTTTTTTTTTACTTTGCTTGATTTTTATTTATTTATTTTACTTTTTCCCTCCTTTTTTCCGCCTTCTTGCATTTTTTCTTTTGTACATATATGCCTCTTATTTAGCTACTCTTGCGCCTTTCTGCACCTTTATGGCTTAGTGACTTTCTTAGCGCACCTTTCCACTTTCCTGTGCTTTCTTTTTTATCTCTTTCCTGCTTTTCTTATTTTTTGCACCTTTCTGTCTTCTTTGGGTGTGTGTATGTGTGTGTGTATGTGTGTGTGTGTGTGTGTGTGTGTGTGTGTGTGTGTGTGTGTGTGTGTGTGTGTGTGTTTTGTGTTTGACTGTACAGTATATGTATGTATGTATGTATGTATGTATGTATGTATGTATGTATGTATGTCTATTTTTAAACATCTAACATAAAAATCACCATTTATGGAAGTTAACACAAACAACTGATATATTTTAGCAGTTAACATTAATTTACCATAAAAACAGAGAAACTAACACACACACAAGCAAGTATTTTACCTGATAATGTTAAAACACCTTTAGAATTTAACATCAAACTAAGATTATCTCACCTCTGGAATATTTAACACCTTTTGGTATTTAAAATTAACACAATATCACCTGTTAATATTAAAAACACCTTTGGAATTTAACATCAAACTAAGATTATCTCACTTTAAACACTAAAACACTCTTAAAATATCAAACTAACACGAAACACTTTACAATTTATCATGAAAAAAACACCACACCTCTAATTTAACAAAAACATTAAGAAAAACACCTGTTATCACCTGTCAAGACCCAACATTGGCATTTAACATTAGAAAACAAACACCTTTACCTGTCACCCCCCCTTAATTGACGCACCTGTCACCTGGATTATGGCGTCACGGGGAGCTAATTTGCATACGGAAATAGGTATTGCAGTGAGTCGCCTGAGTTTGGTGTGAATATTTTTGGACCTGTCATGAACTAAGGTGACTTGGTTGTGGCGGTGATGGTGTGGGTGTGTGGTGATGATGGTAATGGGTGTATGGTGATGATGATGGTGATGATGAAGTGGGGTGAAAGTGAATAAGGGAAGGAAGAAGAGGTGATACAGATATCAAGGAGGAGGAGGAGGAAGAGGTGATAAAGATAGGAAGAAGGAAGAGGAAGAAGAGAGGGAAATATGACCACTAGGAGAAGATGAGAGAGAGTAAAGAGATTGCTATTTAGTGTAGAGAGAGAGAGAGAGAGAGAGAGAGAGAGAGAGAGAGAGAGAGAGCCAAGAGTGACACATTTCCAGCATTATGTGTCGGCGTTGACTGAGGTGCCAGGGCCATTATAGAGGGGTAGATGGCACCCCCTCCTCTCCTTTACACTATGAAGGGGTGATGGCACTGAGGGGGGAGAGGGAGGAGAGGGGTAGAAAGAAATGGAGAGGGAGAGAGATTGACACCCACTCACGTCAACACACCCACCCACTACCCACCCACCCACCCACACCCAACTACACACCCACGCACACACCAACACACCCACCCACACCCAACTACACACCCACGCACCCACCAACACACACCCCGCCCACCCACTCCACCAACACACCCACCCACACCCAACTACACACCCACGCACCAACCAACACACCCCACCCACCCACCCACAGACGCGATAAAACCACCAGCCTCTTCAGAACTACTCTCTTGGGTCATAAAATCCCCTCTCCACCATTAATGTCTCACAAACAATATTATTGACTCACAAACACCGTGTGTATGTGTGTGTGTGTGTGGGTGCGTGGAGGGGCGGGTGAGAGGAGTGAGAGCGATGTGAAAAGGTCAGGAAAAAGATATAAAGGGAGTGAGTGGGAGGGAGGGGGAGAGTGGGAGGGGAGATGGTGTGAGTGGTGGGGCGTGAAAGAGATTGTAATGTGTGATGCTGAGGTGGCGGATGATACACACACACACACAAACACACACACACACATGTCTAATGGTATACTGTATGTATTTACGTGTGTGTGTGTGTGTGTGTGTTGTGTAGCGGTCAGCGAATAATAGGTCTAATGGTAAACCGTGTTCCTGGGGGGGAGTAATTATTAGCCAGTGCAGTTGGCAAGTTGTCCGATCTTTCTGGGGTTAATCCTCTACACTGACTTACACTACACAACACCTTCAACATAAACATTTGTATATATGTTTGTATCCCCGACAGGTTTGATTCTAGTGCCCAATGGGAAGGCTATAGGCTTGGGCATGGGTGATGATTGGTCGTCCACACCTGCTCCTTCAACCACCACCACCACCACCACTACCGGCCTCTCTACTGAAGAAGTAAGTCTGTCAATAACAACTTCTTCACCGACATTTATTTTCTCCTGTATTTAAGTTGCGTCAGCAGCTCAACACCCGCTTATCCTGACATAACGAATTAATGTTTCCTCTAAGTATTTCACATATGTGCTACCTGGAGTATGATCAAAACCCACAATAACGCAGCTATGATTTAAAATTTTTGGACATGGTATAATAGATGTTTAATTAGCCTCGTATTATAACGTACAGGTGTTATTAAGTCAGGTAAAATAACGTACAGGTGTCATTAAGCCAATTAAGCTAGGTAAAATAACGTACAGATGTCATTAAGCCAATTAAGCCAGGTAAAATAACGTACAGGTGTCTTTAAGCCAATAAGCTAGGTAAAATAATGTACAGGTGTCATTAAGCTAGGTGAAATAACGTACAGGTGTCATTAAGCCAATTAAGCCAGGTAAAATAACGTACAGGTGTCATTAAACCAGGTAAGTATAGATATAGCCTAACCTAACCTAATATTTACCTGTGTGTAGCCTTGAGACTAATTAAGGTGTTGGTGTGGACAGGTGAGCGAGCTGATGACCGCCACTGAGCCCGGGTTCCTCAATGCTTCTACCATCACCGATGTTATCAGTCATATGGAGCATCCGGAGAACGTGTCTATCAGTGATGCTGGTAAGTGGTGCTGTGTCTCTCTGTTTGTCTCTTACTGATGCTCGTACGTGGATCTCTCTTTTTGTCTGTCTGTCTGTCTGTGTCTGTCTCTTTTTGTTTGTCTGTGTCTCTCTTTTTGTCTGTCTATGCCTCTCTCTCTCTCTCTCTCTCTCTCTCTCTCTCTCTCTCTCTCTCTCTCTCTCTCTCTCTCTCTCTCTCTCTCACCCAATGCAAAACAGTATCCATAGGAGTTTTCGTTATAGACAGAATTCTAAAACAATTACCCTACAGAGAACCCATTGAACCCATGAACCCATTACCCACTCTCTCTCCCTATACCCAGGTGAGGTGAGAGAGACTCGGAGTGGGTATAAATCACACCCCTGGGGCATCTTCTTCACCATTGTGGGTACTATGTTGCTGGACTTCGATGCGGACGCCTGCCAGAGCCCCTCCCGCGCATACCTCCTCGATGTTACTATCCCTGGTCTGTATATATATATAAGTAACACCCTATATGAGAGCTCTGGATAGATGATGAAATTATTAACCTTACACAAATAATAATAATAATAATGTCAATCATAATATATTAGAATAAAAAGTCTTTATGGTTTGAAATTATTTAAAAATCACATTAAACTCGAATCCTTTGTCCTCCTCCCGAGTCCCGCCCCGCACCGCTGCCAGACGTAGGCGCCAAGATCCACAAGAGGAAATTGATTACCGCTTTCTCACACTAACTCTTTCTTAACTTCTCTTCCCCATAGAGCCGCCCGTCTTAAGGTTCCAATTAATTTACACAACAAAATCCTATTAGGAGCGTTTCAAATTCCGGTTGTGAGGGCTGGGGGGACTTATTGGGGACTTTGCTGGCGGGAACAATGATATTAGTTTAGTCTTGTGGGCTTTTGACGCCTCAGCCGCCATCCAACACATTCAAGTCACAAATTCAAATATCTTTCGGCTCAAGCTAAGAAACTTCTACTTAACTCTGCGATTAATTTACTGTATTAATATGATTTTTATATCGATGTTTGAGTTTTTTTTTATTGATTTTATTGTTGTGATTTGATTAGATTACTGTATTCCGTTTTAAATGCTTGTTTTTTATCCCAGGATGAACATGATAATATAAATCGACTGTGTATTTATTTTTTTCTATATATATATATATATTCTTAGGTTAGGTTATGTTAAATTAGATGAGGTTAGGTTAGGTTTATGTTAAGTTAGATTAGGTTAAGTTAAAGTTAGGTTGGATAAAGTTAGGTTAGGTTTTCAGACGTTGATATTGAAAAAAAAACAGGGTCCCTCTCACTCCTGTTGTCTGCCGTTTGAGATTGAATGACAGATCAGTTCCTCCTGTTGTCTGCCGTTGAGATTGAAAGACGGATATTAAGTTCTAAGACACTACTTATACGGCCAAACTTTATAGTGATCGCTGAGACTAAATTATTAAGTTTGGGAAGAGTCACTGAGACTAACCCACGGTGATATAAGCCTTTGTGCTGTTGTCCGGTAAAAAAAAAATCTAAAGAAGGTTATCCGGACAAAATCATACTAACATTATCCGGAGAAGTTCAAAATAAGGTTATCTGGACATAATGAAAATAAAGTAATCCGGACAGTATCAAAATAATTTATCCGGACAGAATCAAATTAAAGTTATACGGACTGAATCAAAATAAAGTTATCCGGATAGAGTATTAATTAGTCCAGATTTCCGTAGTTTCATCTGATGAATTATTATTATTATTATTATTATTATTGTTAGTAGTAGTAGTAGTTGCGTGTAGTAGTAGTAGCAATAGTAGTAGTAGTACGAAGAGGAATTAGTATGTTATATGCTTAGTTAGCGATTCATTAGTAGAAAAAAGACAAATGTAGTATCAATTGTGTGTGTGTGTGTGTGTGTGTGTCTGTGTGTGTCTGTGTGTCTGTGTGTGTGTGTGTGTGTCTATTGTCCAATGTATGTGTCTGCGCGTGTTTTGTTTTGTGTGTGTGTGTGTGTGTGTGTGTGTGTGTGTGTGTGTGTGTGTGTGTCTGTGTGTGTGTCGTGCATTGTTCATGTACTTGGAGTGCCTCGCTGTCACGGGTGCCTCAGAGTGTCAATACCCACAATATACAGGTGCCACGGACTGCATTGTTTATTGCCTTGGAGTACCTCTGGGTGTTGAGTGTGTCTGAGTGTTGAGTGTGTCTGAGTGTTGAGTGTGTCTGAGTGCTGAGTGAGTCTGAGTGTTGAGTGAGTCTGAGTGTGTCTGAGTGTTGAGTGAGTCTGAGTGTTGAGTGTGTCTGAGTGTTGAGTGTGTCTGAGTGTTGAGTGTGTCTGAGTGTCTGAGTGTTGAGTGTGTCTGAGTGTTGAGTGTGTCTGAGTGTTGAGTGTGTCTGAGTGCTGAGTGAGTCTGAGTGTTGAGTGAGTCTGAGTGCTGAGTGAGTCTGAGTGTTGAGTGAGTCTGAGTGTTGAGTGAGTCTGGCTGTGTCTGTATGTCTGAGTGTTGAGTGTGCCTGAGTATGTCTTGAGTGTTTAGGTGCCACAGACTAAAGGCAGGTCTCGGGGGCGGCTTCGGCTACGCTATGGGCGGCATCAACTGGGACGCGACGTTTATAGGTGAGCTGGGAAGGGGAGGGAGGGAGGGAGGGTAGGAGAGCGAGGAACAGGGAGGTATGAAATATATGCAAATACGTGGAGATATTTTGACACACTGAATGATATAGACTCCTTATAATTAAAGTATATATAAAAAATTATTTATCTTACGAGTGTTATATTTCTTCCATCCATGTCTTGACCATCCTTGAATACCGGATTTCTTTTTTCTTTCTTTCTTTCTTTCTTTCACCTGAACCCACACCAACACCCATACCCCACGCTCACTTGCCTATGATCTCCCCACACCCACATCGCTACCCACTTCCCCCACCCACACCTATGTCCTCCCTGCTCCTCCATCATCCACGCCCCCGCCCACAGGAGTGCTGATGGGGGGACACGTGAGGGCGGTGTTTACGATCGTCACCTTCATCTTCATCGCCTGTGTCCTGAGCACCTTGTACTCCTTCAGGGAGGTCCCCCTTGAGGTCCTACAGAAGACCACCAAGGCGCAGCTGCAGAAGGTGAGTCTCAGGTGGAGGTGGTAGTGAGGTAGGTGGAGGTGACTCTCCTGTAGGTGTCACAATCTAGGTTCCCCAGGTGTGCAGGTGTCTACTAATTGGAAGAGAATCCCCGTCCCCAGGTGTTCAGATGAGCTGTAAGGTGTAATTGGCTCTCTCAGGTGTATTGGCGTGTGTGTGTGAAAGTAACATTACTTTCTATCTCATTTTCTCACTTTCTCCTCGTTTCTCTTTTATTGTCTCTTTATATCTCTTCTTTTTCGACAGCTATTATTACTACCACACCTCTCTCTCTCTCTCTCTCTCTCTCTCTCTCTCTCTCTCTCTCTCTCTCTCTCTCTCTCTCTCTCTCTCTCTCTCTCTCTCTCTCTCTCTCTCTCTCTCTCTCTCTCTCTCTCTCTCTCTCTCTCTCTCTCTCTCTCTCTCTCTCTCTCTCTCTCTCTCTCTCTGCCCTTCCCTGAGACAAGGTTGACCCAAGACAGTATTGCGTGTTAGGGTAATAATTCTGTGTGTGTGTTTGTCTGCCAGTGTTTACAGCCTCACTACCCCCGCCAAACAGGTCCCTTGTGGTCACCCATTATTTACATCCGTTTGATAATGGCGTCTCATGTCCGCCTTAATGTGTTCATTCTGTTTATTGGTGTTTGGTCTTCTTAATGGTGCTGATATTGTGTTTTTTTATGCTATTGTGTTTTTTTTCACTTTTATATTTTTAAACTTTTTTACGTTTTTGCTGTTTTTTGCCCTTTTAATATTTTTATTTATTATACTGTTTTTGTGATACTGTTGATGGTGGTGATACATATACAGACACAGATACATAGACTGTAGTATACATGAATGCATATCTAATCTAATTTAACCTAGTCTAGAGTAATTTAACCAAACCTAACCTAACCAAACCTAACCTAACCTAACCTAACCTAACCAAACCATCTACCTGCTCAGCTAATAATCTAATCACCCTATTAGCTAACAGTCCAACTACCTAAATAGTTAACAGTTTAATCACCCAATCAACTAACAATCTAACTACCCAATCCACTAACAATCTAACTACCCAATCCACTAACACTCGAACTACCTAATCCACTAACACTCGAACTACCCAATCCACTAACAATCTAACTACCCAATCAGCTAATGACCCTTCTGTCTATTCCTCCTGCAGGGGATGTCGACGGAGCAGCAGGTACTCGACCCTCAGAGCTTAGAGGAGGGTAAAGTAGGGTACGGTACCATGGGCACTAACACTCCTCTGCGCCCTAGCTCACTGCCCCTCATGGTAAGTACCTGGTTACTGTCTCTCTATATGGTAAGTACCTCTACAGTCTGTCTTAGCTCAGTGTTTTCATGATGGTAAGTACTTGGTTTACTGCCCCTCATGGTAAGTACCTGGTTACTGTCTCTCTATATGGTAAGTACCTCTACAGTCTGTCTTAGCTCAGTGTTTTCATGATGGTAAGTACTTGGTTTACTGCCCCTCATGGAAAGTACTTACTTGTTGAGAGAGAGAGAGAGAGAGAGATTAAAAAAAAATAGAGAAATTGGACAGAAACGTAAGAGAACGAAGAGAGAGAGGGAGGGAGGGAGAGGGTGCAGCCTAAAGAGCAAGAGAGAGAAGGACAAACTAGAGAGAGAGAGAGGGGGGGGCAAGGTTGAGAGAGAGAGAGGGGGGGTTGAGAGAGGGGGCAAGGTTGAGAGAGAGAGAGGGGGGGGCAAGGTTGAGAGAGAGAGGGGGGGGGCAAGGTTGAGAGAGAGAGGGGGGGGCAAGGTTGAGAGAGAGAGAGAGAGAGGGGGCAAGAGAGAGAGAGGGGGGGCAAGGTTGAGAGAAAAAATAGTAGCTTCTTAAGTGGCACTTGAGTGAGTGAGACAAGTTGCTCATATTTCTACTACTTAACGCTCATGAGTCAAGGGATTCCCCGCTACCGCTTGAGGGCTGATACCCCTCCTTACTTAACATTTGCATCTCCACTACTGAGGAGAGAGAGAGAGAGAGAGAGAGGGGGGAGGAAGGGTGAGAAAGATAGATGGGTAGATAGATATATTGAGAAAGAGAGAGAGAGAGAGAGAGATAGAATGTGTTTACTCTTTATATTGTTTACTATTGTTTGATTATCTATTGTTTACCGTTTAGTATATTTACTGTTGTTTGCTTACCGTCTCTTCATTGATTCCTTGTTTGTTTACCATTTCCATTAATTGATCTCGTTTGTTTGCTTTCTCTCCATTGTTTACTGTCTATTGTTTACTCTCGTTTGTTTACTATCGTTTGTTTACTGTTGTTTGTTTACTGTCTCTCACAACAGAACGGTCACGGGGTGGAACCAGGGGCTGAGGCTCAAGGCGACGTCGACCAGAGCTACAGTGAGAAGCCCGTAGGACCACCTACATCAGGAGACCTCCTTCAACCAGCAGGTACTTGTAGGAGGCGGTGAAGGAGGGGAAGTAGGGGACCTCCTTCAACCAGCAGGTACTTGTAGGAGGCGGTGAAGGAGGGGGAGTAGGGGACCTCCTTCAACCAGCAGGTACTTGTAGGAGGCGGTGAAGGAGGGGGAGTAGGGGACCTCCTTCAACCAGCAGGTACTTGTAGGAGGCGGTGAAGGAGGGGGAGTAGGGTACCTCCTTCAACCAGCAGGTACTTGTAGGAGGCGGTGAACGAGGGGGAGTAGGGGACCTCCTTCAGTCTTAAAGATCCAGGGTATTGAAGCACCTAACCTAACCTTACCCACCAAGTATTATGAATATTTTATGTATTGAGAAAAACTTGTTCCTTTTCTCAGTCAGTGGGATCCTATTTCTGTAATAATATCCCTCTTATTATGTCTCACGTATCCTGCAGGACCCGACAGAGTTGAAGGAACCTATGGTCGAGGTAGCAGAAGAAGGCGCAGAAGAAGCAGCAGTACCCGGGGCAACACTTCGACAGTATCTCTTATCCATTGTTTACATGCCGAGGGTAAGTGGGTCTTCCTCCTGGATAAGAGGATGTTACTCGTACTCTCTGATTACGGAATTATAGTACATACTTGAGTAGATTAAGTTTACTTTATGGAGAAGAGGTATTGTAAAGTAATTTGTATATTCTGAGATTAACCTTTAAGTTTCCGAATTTGTTTTTGTCCTCTCTCTCTCTCTCTCTCTCTCTCTCTCTCTCTCTCTCTCTCTCTCTCTCTCTCTCTCTCTCTCTCTCTCTCTCTCTCTCTCTCTCTCTCTCTCTTAACCTCTCACTCTCTCCCTAACAGTCCTTAAGGATCCTCTGCCTCACCAACCTCTTCTGCTGGATGTCTCTCGTCTGCTACTCCCTCTACTTCACGGACTTCGTAGGCGAGGCGGTGTTCGGCGGTGACCCTGGCGTGAGTACAGTAAAAACCCTCTCATTAACGGACTTCTCAATACAGTAATGGGATACAGTAAACCTTCTCAATAACGGACTTCTTAATAAACTAATACTTAAAAATATCTTAATTATACCTGAAATACCTGCTAATTATACATACCTGATTGATGAAGACACCTGAGAATATTATAATTGATGACTTAAAAATTATACCTTTAATTAATTATATCCCACCTGTGTAAAGATTATAGTCAACAAGCACATCCTGTAGAAGGGAATAACGTCATAAGTGTCCTACACCTTCAGGCACCAGACGGGACACGGGAGAAGGAGCTTTATGAAGAAGGTGTGCGCTTCGGGTGTTGGGGCATGGCACTCTACTCTCTCTCCTGTTCAGTCTACTCTTTCCTCATTGAGAAACTCGTCAAGAAATTTGGGTATGTATGTATGTATGTATGTACAGTATGTATGTATTTATGGATGTGTGTATGTTTATGGTCTTATGTATATATAAATATTTTAATGTATATATTTATGTATGTATGGTCGTATGTATATAGAGATGTATACTAACACATATATCTCCACCGTGTACACACTTGTCTAACACGTTTTGTTGTCCCGTCAGAGCTAAGCCAGTGTACGTGTGTGGTCAGCTAGTGTACAGTGTAGGTATGGTGTTCATGGCAGCCCTCCGTCACCCTGCTGCTGTTATTATCTTCTCCTGCTGCGCCGGCGTCATGTATTCTACCCTCTTCACCATGCCGTATCTTCTGGTGGCTCACTACCATGCTTCAGAGACGGTACGTACCATGATATACCTCCTGGATCTTCACTACCATAACTGGGTGATGGTAATGTATAAACGTGTGCTTAACAAAGGATGTGTACTTCACTATGGTAATGCTTAACTCCCCATAAAGTAGTTGTAAGTGATTTAATAGTTCACTTTTATTGTCTTATTTACTTCACGATATTTTTATACACCAGTAGGAATAAGTCTTGATTAATCTACAAGCTTACAACACTCCAGATTAAACTAAATATGTAGTAATGTATTCATGAAAAGCTTTACACATGCCTGGTAATAATATTTCTTCTGTATCATTATATAGTATTGTTATTTTACTCTAAGACAAACTACTAATATCCTTAATGACTTTTATAGAGTGTAGCATTATCTTGATTTAATCTTTAGAATACCTCTTTTTTCTCATTAGATTTACCTTTCATTAACCCTAGAGATGGTTAAGGTAACACACAGGTTGATAGGACGCATTAACCTACACGCGGTTGGATACATTAAGTCACTTGGACCTTTAGAGTTAGTATAAGTGATTGTGTTTACTCGTGACCTTGCTCAGTCTCCCCGTAGAGCCAGCCAGCATCCCTCTTCTTGTCTCCCGTAGATAAAGTGTGAGGACGTGTGGTTGGTCACCAAGATTCGTCATCTGTGGTCTCGCTGTTGTGGTTCCTCGGTGAGTGGGAAGTTGGGTGAGGGGGAGGGGAGGTGTGTTGGAATGGGAGGGTTTTTTTTTTACGGGGATTAGCCCACCCGGGCACAGGTCACTGACCCACATCAGGGCCCGGGGGGCGAAAATTTAATAATAATAATAATTCATAGTAAATAAAATTTATAATAAAAGGTAAAATAAAATATTAATGGTAATAATAATAATAACAACACTGTGATAATAATAAATACAAAGAAATGCAAGAATGAAAAATATCAACAGTGAGAAACGCTATATGTATGTTGTTTTGTCATGTAATAGAAACAATTAAGACCCTGCAATTGTGTGTAAATGAGGCAGAAAGTCAGATCAGCAACCTGGGACTTGGTCACAATTTTCGTGATGCCATATGGCAGCAGGGTCTACCATTAGACAACACATTATGCTGCCAATATCTTCACAGGCGGTAGTACCTCCCTGTTCGGTAGCTGCCTACTACCTACTTCCTATGAATTGGGAGGGAAAGGTGATGGAGGAGGATGGGATGGGAGTGTTAGTAGGGGTATTTTGGGATGTGTATTTGAGATGAAATTGAATTTTATGTTGTGTTTGAGAAAAACATGCGTGTGTGTGTGTGTGTTAATAAACAATAATATTTAACCAGATGTGTATGTATATTTGTATGCATTGCTAAAGAGAAGACAAACAAACGCACACATGTAGTATCTCTCCCCACTAACATTTCCCTCACCTTCTCAGTACAAGACGGAGGCAGGCGAGGGGCCAGCAGTCTTGGCTAACGACGGGCCAGAGCAACAGGTCCGTGGGCTGGGGACAGACGTGGCCATCATATCGTCCATGGTGTTTCTCGCTCAGTTCATCCTGTCGTCATGTATGGGTTCCATCATCGCTGCTGTAGGCTCCACCACGACCGTCGTGTGCGCCGCCAGTGTCCTCGCTCTCTTTGGCTCCATCACCGCTACACAAGTCGTCTATCTCGATCTCTAAAGTCGTTTTCTCTGATCCCTATTATTACGATGACAGAAAACGGGAATATTATCAGACACCATTGTAATTGTGTTGACTGTTCAATGGGCGTAGTTGTGAGTGGCAATTAGCAGCAGTAATGGATGGCTTTGTTTCTGTACTAAAAATAATAAAGAATAATGCTTTAAAAAACACGTACCTCACTTGGTATTAAAACACGTGGTGGAAATACAGAACTTCAATGTGTAATTCTGTGTATAAATGGATAGATGTAAGTACTTATTTTTCTCAACTGATCAGTTTGTATATACAGTAGACAGTACTAGATGTAGGGAGCTTTTAAATAAGATTAACTTATTTGTAAAACTCGTTAATTAAGGAGAATCATGATGTTGCAGTTCTTGTGGACATATTAACATGTGTAGTATTTTTAATAGAGTTCGCTGCAGACTGTATAACATAATGGATATTTTGTTAACCCGTCCTTGGATTCAATGCACACTTGCGGGTCGTGATGTTAAAAGCTAAGAGGTGTTCTCCCGATAGCTTATTACCATACCTAGACCCTCACTAATGAAGGAATGACCATCAATGAGGTTTAAAACAAATATTCACTCAGACTAGGACTACTAAAGACTAGGACTACGAAGGCTACCTGGACAACTATCTTTTGAGCCTGAGTACACGACTCTGTTCTTTTGTTTCAGGCTGATTGGGTTTTTTTTTCTTGGATGATCAAGGAGCCTCCATTCAGTGGCCAATAATTACAATACTTTTAAATGACTATGGTTCTCCTATATCGGGTTGGTTAGCTTTTTTTCCTAGGATGATCAAGGAGTCTCCATTCAGTGATCAATAATTACAATACTTTTAAATGACTAATCAAGATAAGTGCAATTGTTTATTCTACAGGTAATAGAATAGGGAATTATGTCAGCAGAGTTACATCGCAATTATTTCAGTTTTTCTTCATTTTTTTTTCTTGATCGTTAGTGTCAGTACGGTAACAGCTGTTGTGATGGTAATTAGGTGGTTGCTGTGGCTACTTAACAGGTCATGAATAATATAATGTTTCTCTTTAATTATATATTCATTTACCGCTTGATTTATTGCAGTAGTGAACTTTTGACCTTACTGAACTGACCAGCTGATACAGTATTACAAGTATTATCATTATCATTAAGATCATTTAAATTCTTTTCTGTTATTTTATAATTCAAATAATAACTGGAAATATATGACAGTATTTCTTAAATACTGTACTGTAAGAGTAACATATCAACACTGTAGTTTATGAACTTGTAACACAATATTATTATTATTATTATTATTATTATTATTATTATTATTATTATTATTTTTATTATTATTATTATTATTATTATTACACTCATCGGTAATAGTATATATATTTTTTTGCCTGTTATTACACCATATTAATTTTCATTGGTATAATCATTTAATTTGGTTATATTTTAACAAATTATCTCACTGTCATTTCACACATATACTACATTATACCATATAACTCATTTATAAACGTTTTTTTATCATTTTAAGTGTAATGATAGTTTGATATTTTTCATATTTTCTATAAGTTACTGTATTAGTGAGTAATTGTTCATTAAAAACAGTTTATTATTAATTTATAGCCATCTGGTACGGTATAGATCAAGTGTCCTGTGTGAGTCGAGCTATCAGATGCTCCCCTGACAGTCTGCCTTTGTTGTAGTCTGACAGGTTAAGAGGCTTCATGTACACTGGCTCGAAACCTTTACTTAAGTTGATACGTTTTTTTCTTAACTCTGTGGCCATAAATGAGGTTCTGTGCTTCACCTCTCTCTGTTTTCCTGTCATATTTTGATTAAAACTTGTCAACAGCACCACCGAGAAGCATTGGATTTTTGACTAATAGTTTTGTCTATGTCTTTTCTCATAGTGGTTCTTGTCATGCTATTTTAAGCCATTGTTAAATAAGTGTCTTTGAGTGTCTTGGTATTCCCTTTCTCGTCCTTCTGATGCCGGGTTCAAGATCAACAGGAACTGAGAAGGTCGAATCGTGGAGGCTCCTTAGCGACGTGGAAACTAAACTATACTGTGGGATTTGGATTCCGTGTACATGAAACCTTACTGAATCTCACATTAGGGTTCGTATTTGGTTCACTCAGAGACAGCACGAAACACTGTCTGCTGGGGAGTGTTTCCTGTCACTCAACTGTTGTCACTCCTAGGTGGTGTTTGATGGTAAGGACCTCACAGAACACTTGTGTCGTTCCCCTTGACAATAATAATAAAAACGATATTTCAATCCAACATTCCTGTCATTCTTTTGTACATAATCTGTCTATTTATTTTTGATCATAGAAGAATTTTATTTTGAGTTACATCAGTCACAACTTTGTTTTGTTTTTTCCAGCTGGTACTTAGCCATTTACAGCCATATTATTTAAGTTTATTTTCTTTTTAATTTTTTTTTAATTCATTTATTGTACAGATGTGATAGTCAGATGAGCCAGTGACATTATCAGTTGATTAGATTTTAGTTTAATTGGCTATAGTGTTTTTTTTCACTAGTTGTCCAATTCCATTATGTGTACCTATTGGTCCATCCATCTATCTCCCTGTGTCTGTATGTCATGTAACCTGTGTCCTGTTGGGTGGCTCATCATCAGTGTCTCATTTGTTTGTCTGTCGGTTTACATCAGACATGGGGGTAATTGTGAAGTAATCTCAATGCTGTAAGTACAAGAGTAAATTAGTATAATATTTGAATTAAATTTATATATATGATGACTTTCAAATCTAATTATAATTTTAATATTAGACTTTGTATTACTAAGAGGAATGTTTATGGCTAGTAATTAATGTAGCCATACAAGGAACCCATGTCTGTAAAGTTATGTGTTTGTGTACATTAAAAAGGTGTTGTCCTGATGTTGATCTGTGTGAGTCACTTTAACTGAGTCTACCCTTTGTAATGTGTTGTTTTCTTTGTATAACCCCAGTTCTCTAGGTATAAATATCCCTCTCACTCATCCTCCATGCTAATATCCCTCTCACTCCGTTTCTCCATGCTAATACCCCTCTCATCCATAACCCCCCTTCACTCCACTCCTTCCTCCACTCATACCTGACCTATGTGTTCTAGTCGACAGGAGGTATTCACTACGGCTCCTGTCTTTTTATGTGATTGAATATATTGCAGTATAATTTCCTTTGACTTTACTGAATGTATTAGTTCACTTAACTTATGTGGTGAAGGTTTTAGTCTTGGTTGGAGAGTTTGAGTTTTAGTTCAAAAATATTATTGTGAGAAATCTATAAAAAAAAAAGAGGAAATGGATGTATATTTTAATTAAGGTTTGAAACAATGTGAAAGAAATATTTTTTTTTACTTGTGTCTGAGTATTGATTGGCTATTTGAGTTTAGTTTAGATATACAGTATAATTAAAAGTGATATTAATAAGAAATGGGTGTTCATTAAGGTGTGAAGCAAACTTGTAGAGTGTTATTGTTATGCAGTGAGTAAATCTATTAGCCTAAGACCATGTTTCTATACACGCGATAATACTGGGTCTTAAGCGCCCCACAAAACGTGTGTGTGTACCTCTGTCAGGTGTCCTGTACTGTGCTCTTATCAAAACATATCGATGTGCTACTCTGTGTTAACGAAGTAGAAGAAGCAATATTGCAGTGGAATGATGTGTAAGTGTATATATATATATATATATATATATATATATATATATATATATATATATATATATATATATATATATATATATATATATATATATATATATATATATATATATATATATATATATATATATATATATATATATATATATATATATATATATATATATATATATATATATATATATATATATATATATATATATATATATATATATATATATATATATATATATTGCTTGCATTAGAATGATTAGATCTATACAACACTGATATTCTCTTATGGTGAGTTTTTTGTTACTAGCTATAAAACTTAAGGAAATTCTGATAGGTAACACTGGATTTTCTTCTTTTTGTGGGGGGTGGGGTAGGGTGGGGGGTCAGTGAAGACATTGGATATAAATCCTTCATGTACACAGTCTAGAAGCGTATGTATAAAAGGCACAGGTAAAATGTGTCTTCTTAGGTGGATAGTTCGCTTGAATGTGAAGTGTGTTGTAGATAATGAGGTATGAATGTTGTCTGTAGCAGATGTCTGAATTAAAGTTGTTAATTGTTGGGGCTTTTCTTCATATCCCATGGAAAAGTTACAAGGATCATGGTACCATTGGGAAGGTGCTTGGTTCCTGATCCCAATGAAAAGTTTAGTTAAATTCCTGGTTCCATTGAAAAGTTATATAGTTCTTGAGCCCATTGACACGTTACTTATGGCCTTGGTTCCACTGATAATAATTTACTTGAGGTATTGGTATTAAATTTTCATCACAACATTAAAATACTACATGTTCACCATAACACTAGTACTACATGTTCACCATAACACTAGTACTACATGTTCATCATAGCACTTGTACTACATTATCACCACAAAACTAATACTACATGTTCACCATAACACTGAAATTAGTTACTCTTTATTGACAAGGAACCACCATGATTAAAGCAGATTAATTCTATTTTATTTAACTAAGTGATTTCCCCAGATAGGTAAATAATAATCATGAAGGTAAAGGATAATGAGAAAGTTACGTAATTTTTGAGAGAACTGTGGAATTGGAGGTTCATTATTTGTTTTTAAGTTTTTAGAAGATTTTGTGTGAAAAAAATGTTGGTATACTGTACATCTACTAACGACGCATCTATTTGAATCATCAACAGTCATTAAAATACAAAATTCACCTTTAGTCATTCATTAACTTTCAGAAAACAAAACAAATAAACTGACGAACGCATGGTTGTGGACGCCATCTGTTGGTTGTAAGTCGGGTTGAGACGACGACTACCAGAGACGAAAAAGGAAGAAAGATTCTGGTCTTAGTAACAACAACACCTGATTACCCGCATTCGAGTAAAGTATCTCTTGAGTGATGGGTGCAGTGAACTGTTTGGAAAATTAACTCTTGTTTTAAAGACAATACTGACGTCTTCACAACTGGTAAGTGTTAACGATATTTTACCATTGCAAAGTTTATGTCGATATATTCATTTCATGTACTGGAAAAATAAAACTGAATAATTCTGGTTGAGGAGAGCAGTATGTGTATAGTAATATTTAACGCTAACCAGCTACCTAACGACATGTATCAATAGAAGAAAATTGATTTTATACCTGAAGAATAAGATAAAACAGGTGGTGGGTTACGTTTTTTCCCTGTTTAGGTTTTAGTCCGTTGTTTTTGTCATAAACCAGACGCCACTCTTGCTGCCTTCATGAGAATGTCGCCGCCATTATTGGTTTTCGTGAGCATTTGGAAGCGTCGCCTTAATGTTTCATAAACATTATTAATGATATTATTGACTATTCCATTAGATTTTCATACTCATTAAAAATAAATAATAATTATAAGAAGGTATAATTTGGCGATACACACGAATCAATAAAACCTACCTAACCTTGGATGGAAGTTCATTATTTAGGTTTAGTTCCTATTGGCCGTGAAGCTGGCTAGGAAGTTAGGTCAGGTTTTCTTAGGATCTGTGCATTTGCGTTATCATTTACGTGTTCAGTAGCATGGAAATAGTATCTCCAGAAGTGTTGGTTTTTTTCCATCAATTATTTCTGGTGCTAACCGTGTCCTGAACCTTTACCTTTATTACGAGTAAAACTTTGCAAAAGTCTCTTTATGTTTGTGTTGATCTTTTGAATTATTTTGTTATTGAGATACTTGTAATGAGGAGAGCTTTAAAAAGTATAGTCGCGTGTATAACTTTTCTTAGCCCCAATGTTAAGGCTTCATTAATTTCAGGTAGCCTCTGATCTATATAACTAGAGGAGGTAAGCATGAAACTCTTAGCCAAATATTTCAATTGGAGTTTTTGGTTATCCCTTGTGACCTTCATTACTATGCATCACAGCTACGGCGGTTTCCTCCTGTACTAAAACTGGACATGCCAACCGACTGTGAACGGCTAGTAAGGTAATGAGTGGTGAAATAATAATAATAATAAATAATTCAATAAATAAACACGTGTATGTGGAAAATTATAAGTTAGCCACCCAATGGATCACGTTTTCTCTCCAGCACGTAAGAGAGAGGACGTGTAGAGGGGTGAGAGATGACTATAGGAAGTGATAATAATGTTCACTGATGGGAGGAGCGGTGTTATCAACGTGTGTGTATGTGTTTTTTTTCCATTTCGTGAGCATTACATCTTTTATATACGAGAATTCGAATACTTACGACAAACATTTGGTTTAGAGGTAATAACAAAAACAGCTTGTATGAATTTTTGGAGTTGGGACAAAAATAGCATTGTTTTTTTGTAAAATTTTCGATGTTTATGGAGGGCACCCCCCCAAAAAGTGGCTTTTAGGGAAATTTACAGTGAAAACTATAATTTAGCCGCGCGGAATGTACTGTAGTCTGCTGGTAGTGATGTTTATCTCTATACTGATTAAATCTTTTGCATCAGTTTTGGTGTAGTCATACATTTATTTACTATATAAAATTTTATTAAAGCCACAGATATACGAATTGTTTACAACTTTATTACACAACACTGTAATATAATGTGAGTGAAACATTCGGCATTTTGAAGAAATGTTGTTTATTGAAAAACTGGCGTATTTATTATACAATTTTTTGTTTCCATATTTTTTCTGGATTTTATGCATTTTTTAGATATCCCCCATCGGGGTATTACTTAGGGTAGTCGATATGTCTTATTTCAGGAATTATTTTAGTCCTCCTGCGTTGCGTTTTTCACAGTGATGTTTTGTGTCCCAGTGGGTTTGGTCTCTGTTTACTATTCCAGCCTGGCGCGAGCATAGATCACACCACTGAGCATTAATATCGTAGTAAGGGAAGTGAGGTATTAAAGGGGAGGGCAACAAGACCTTCCTCCGTGGTGCGTTAGGCCACACACTTAAAGTTCATCTTGTAGTTCTTAATATACCTGGAGATAGTGTACTCGTGGTGTGTTTAATCGTAGGTTTAGAGTATTGGTACTTCACAGGATGTTTATAAAGTCCCTTGACGCTTGGGTAGGTCATATAAACACCATGTAAATAACGTTGTGGAGCACAGGTTAGGATCACAAGCAGACAGATGTGAGGAGGGTGAAATAAAACAACACTGTACAGGAATTTTAGTCTATATTACAATTCATGTTTGACGATCGTTGCATACATTTCAGTGATGACAAATGAGATACATTTAGGGAATGGGAATATAAATACAATATGGACACGTCAAAAATGAACTAGGGAGACGGAAAATCGCCAATTTGGAGAGTGATTGACGAACCCTACGACTTATTGCTGCACAATTGACAATTTTAGAAGAGTTTCGAGGCCTTTGTCGAGTATACAACCACAACGTAAGCGATGAAGGGTCACACTACGACTTAACCTCTCCAAGGGATCTTCAGATTTGTCATTGTATAAATGTGACTCATTACCAGGACTCGATACAGATTTATTTTTTTTTACCTAGGAGTCATGTTTACGACGCTCAAATAGAGTATATAAACACTGGTGGTGCATTATTGGAACGGCCGCGTTTATCTCACGTAGTCCAAGTACTGAGCAGCGTCCTCCTTTTAGGGGTATTTTTTCAAGAGTTAAGTATACAGTTTCAGAAAGTGTTCCTCTTGAATTAAATATTAGTCTTTTATTTCTCTTAAATGAAACACGAACCTCTCTTAGCGGGCTGTAATGGCGGATGGTGTTCGCGCTGAGTGAGGGAGGTATGTCATTGTTATTTTGACCATAATCGGTGCTGTTGAGCAGTCGACACAGCATATACTTTCAGAAATCACAAACCTCCACCAATCAGATGCCTGAGGGTGATTGTTTTTCCATTTTTCAGTAACTCTCATTTGGCTGGTGTGGTACTGCATTATTTAACCATTGGTGAGACTAGATAAGATCTGACTGTTTCAATAGTTCATTTCACGTATATTTTGGAAAATGTGGCTAGAAATTTATTCTTTAAAGCTCTTAGTGGAGTCATGTCAGTCTTTCAGTTAGTTGAAACAATAGCCAGTTTCTCTTGCGTGATACAGAAGATAAAAGAATTTTGTTATTTTAAAGACCAACTTTCCTACAATATATTTGTAGTGACAGGAAGTTAGATATATAAGTTTCGTCATTTAAACATTCACTAGACTCTACTTTCTCGTTATATTTCAACAATACTCTGTCACCGTCTACAACTGTAAAGGATTTCAGCTTCGCTTCTACCACACAAGTTAGTTCTGTATTTATAAGTTGAGAGATGAAGCGTTTTTCACCTCCCGTCGTTTGTGTTGTGAGAGGAGTGTGTGGACCTGCCTCAGTGTACACCACAGTGGGGGTGTGGACCTGTCTCAGTGTACACCACAGTGGGGGTGTGTGTGGACCTGCCTCAGTGTACACCACAGTGGGGGTGTGGACCTGTCTCAGTGTACACCACAGTAGGGGTGTGTACCTGCCTCAGTGTACACCACAGTGGGGGTGTGTACCTGCCTCAGTGTACACCACAGTGGGGTGTGTGTGTGGACTCAGTTCCAGTGTACACCACAGTGGGGGTGTGTACCTGTTCCAGTGTACACTACAGTGTGGGGGTGTGGGACCTGTCTCAGTGTACACCACATACAGTAGGGGTGTGTACCTGTCTCATTATACACCACACAGTGGGGGGGTGTGTACCTGCCCAGTACACCACAGTAGGGGTGTGTACCTGCCTCAGTGTACACCACAGTAGGGGTGTGCACCTGTCTCATTATACACCACAGTGGGGGTGTGTACCTGCCTCAGTGTACACCACAGTAGGGGTGTGTACCTGTCTCAGTGTACACCACAGTGGGGGTGTGTACCTGCCTCAGTATCAACACAGGTTGGTGACGCTGTGAGTGGTTATGATGTAACAGGAGGTCGGCATCACACAAGCGGAGGGTAACACGATCTTTGTTTACTTGTCACGTCTGTGTTGAAGGCTGCGGCTGCCGACCAAATCCACCTGTCATTATTATTGCTAGCGGCGGGTATGTGTAGCCTATATATAAAGTTACTGTTTATATCTGCGGACACGAACCAACCTGACTTAACCAGACGTAACGTGAAGTTCATAGGTTAAGTTTGAGTTCGTTTTACTTGTGGCAGTCAGAGGATCACTGCGCATGCGCTTTATGACCCAAATCAGCGCCGTTGTTTGTCATGAATCAACAGACTAATACATAACCCCGGTGTAGCAAAATGTTGTGAGCTGGATCCGGGTTGGTTAGCACTTGGTTATTTTAATGTAATTACTCGGTTATGGGACATTCGGGTAACGGTCGTTTTGTTGTGTACGATGGTGTGAAGACCGTCAGCTGGTGGTCACTGATGGCTAAAGCTTGATTGTTAGCCTGTCACTGATGACTAAAGCTTGATTGTTAGCCTGTCACTGATGGCTAAAGCTTGATTGTTAGTCTGTCACTGATGGCTAAAGCTTGATTGTTAGCCTGTCATTGACTGGCTAAAGCTTGATTGTTAGCCTGTCATTGATTGGCTAATATGACGTCATCTTGCCTTTTGCTGGATATTTGAAGATTAAAACGGAAAATATGTCGATAAATGAATAAAAACACACAATAAATATCTCCCAAAACAAACTAAATTAGTTGAGTGTTTGTTGAGGTATAATCTCTAGATGCCTCACTTAAGTAATCATGATAACCGTGTGTGTGTGTGTGTGTGTGTGTGTGTGTGTGTGTGTGTGTGTGTGTGTGTGTGTGTGTTATACAAAATATTACACATGTCTAAAGAGGAATTAACATGAGGGATATTACCGTAATATTGAAGTACACGCGTGGAACCCAAAGATGACATCAGAAAACAGATTCCATACCCCCCAAAAAAGAAAAAAAAGTAGCAGTAATGACAATGATAAAACCGCTTTCACTAAGGAAAAAAATCTGCTAATAAAACACGAGAAAGCGCGTGCACTATACACCCCTTCATCATCTTGTCAAGTATATGAAGTTATTACTCAATGTCTCTATTTCTCTAGATGGTCAGGACTAACCATCATCTTGTTGTGGAATCAGGTGAAGATTAGCTCTCCCCCTATTTTGGTTTATTTTACCTGATGATTAAACCCCCGGAAGGTATCTTGGGGGGGGGTGTTAGGTTAGCATTAGGGTATTTGATCATGAGGTGAAATAAACTGGGGGGGTCTAATCTTCAGGTGATCCCGTGTCATTCTTAAACACCTCACATCCCCGGGGAAGATGGGGGAGAGGAGGGACCAGTACAAGTGATATAGATAATAGATTATTCACCTTAAGACCTAAGACAAGACCTATGTACATCAGGTTAGGCGTTATTGTATAAGATCTCTACAGGTTATGAGGCTGACTGATCCTGAAGGAGGAAGAGCCAGCACACGAGACAGACAGACAGACAGACACAGACAGCAGGAGGAGCTAATGGCTATATGTGATCGTCTCGTTGCGGACCGTTAGTGATCTTATAAAATAACATAGAGGAGAGAGGACTCGAGTAAGATAACAATCAGTAAAGACATCTGTACAAAAATTCGATCTTCCAAAGATTCTACACCACGTCTACGAATAGTCTTTCTTCTAAAAGGTTATTATTTTTTTTAACCACTATACTACAGACCTAAGAGTAGAGGGGAATTATTTACACTGTCGGGGCCGGGGTATATAAGCTCATTAGATGCCCATAGTGACTCAGGACGTACAATAGGTGTTGCCAGTATGCGGGAAAAAAATATATTAGAAAAAAAGTTTAGATGATTCTCTCAGCTGACATTCATAAGTTTACTTGATGGGGAATTTCAACACCTGTCCGACTCACTAGGAAGCGACAATGGCACCTTTTAATAAATGCTTGGAAAAATCTTGATAAATCTAATAATTTATGGCTTAAAATTGTACATGTACTTTTTTTTTGTTAAATCTATCAAATAATTCCCATAAATACAAGAACTTAGACTATGTTCAGGTAAGTGTGACATTGTAGATGCGTTTCCGCCAGCACCTCTACACCGTCCCCTGTTTTATTAGACCTCGCGAACCCATTCTTCTGCCGCCGGTCATGGAAGGGGGGAGAGGGGAGAGTCGAGGAACGGAATGGCATCGACACTGTAGGCGACGTTTGCTAGTTGCACGTGTGTACTGTAACGTCGCGTGTACAGGTTCTACACCTGACGAAGCAACACCAGTGGAACTTGCAGGAACAGCGCTCCTGGACACTTTCCTGGTAGCTGGTGTAGCCTCTGTTACAACACAACAGGTCGCATCCTTCCAGCCCGCGTGAAGTCTGCAACATCAAGCGATACAATCATGGGTCGTGGCGAGGGATTTAAAATAAGGAAGTGTAATAATTTTTGGTAGGAATAATAGTGATGAAGAGTATGTTTTATTATTATTATTATTATTATTATTATTATTATTATTATCATCATCATCATCATACGCTACTGACCTTATTGCAGCGTCTGCCGTGTGTGCCCAGAGAGCCACTGTTGATATCATAGTCGCAGTACTCTGGTGAGGACGACACATACACCAGGTCCACCTCAGTCGGCTTCTTGAAGTACTGTTTGTTCGGCTCCAGCTCCGACCTCCCCGACACCTCCTTCACCCGCACCTCCGTTGCCCCGTCGAACTTATCCTTCAGGATTTCTCCAATCTGAAGGACGTCAGGAGGTGAGTGAGTGTCTGAACTACTGTTACATGTGGGCTGGTGTGTGTGTTATAGCTTGCAGGAATGTGATGCAGTTTGGTATTATACATCACAGCTTGAAATAATATAGTTTGATTGTGTGGGTATTCTAAAGCGCTTACTAATGTAGGAAAAAGCAATTCGAAAATATTTTTGATGAAAAAATAGCATATGAGGGAGAAATTAATTCAAGGTATTACATATTACAAGCTCGGGAAATAACAATAAAGGAAATAATGATATAAAAGAATAAGATAATGACGAAAAGGGAATATTAGACAGCGCAGGAAGAGAAACAATCAACATACAGTATTAAGACACAGTACCTCTCTAAAGGTGGGCATGGCCTTCCAACACGTCTTCAGCTCACACGAACCTGACACCCCATGGCATTTGCACTCAATTCTCATGTGCATCTCGATCAACTGCAATGAAAATAGGATTCATGATTATCTCATACTAATCAATTAATCCCACAGTACTGTAATAGGTTAGGTAGAAACACGATAGCCTAGTCAATATGTAAACCTTGAATCTCGCTCGTAATGTGACTAGGCTATCGTGTCCTAACCTAACCTAACCTAACCTAACCTAGTCGATTCCTCTTTCGTTACTTGGTCATAATTTCCGTAGATATAATATTAAGCTTCTGTTTCATGTTTGTTGTTGTGTAGTCATTGTTGTTTAACGCCTTAGATATATGTACTAAGCTTTATGACTTGATGTTGATGTTGTGGAGCTAAGCTTTTTTTGTTTACCTCTTTAAATAATAATCATGTGTACGATAATTAAGTAACGCTGTAATAATTCTTCCTTGTTGTAAATTAATTGGGATTAAACTTTACGGACTGAATTATTAGTGAGTGTAATTTACTTTGCGTCAAGACAGATGCTATTAACTTATTGAAGCAAGATTTTTTTGGGGGGTGGTGATCAATTATTTTCATCAAAGAATTTCGGTAGTCACCTCGGCATAGGAGGATGGAACGTTTAAAATATAAATATATAAATATTCCCTTATTACACTTTCATCAGGTTCTCTTGTATTAGGTTTTTATCCAGCGTTGAAAAATAGTGAATGTTGGGTATACGAAACAGTGTTATGCATTATCAAACTCTTCCCGCGTGTAGCTGTGAAATTTTAAGAGCTTGAGGCTGCTTGCAAAATTTATCCGGTACGGTATGCAGTATATAATATGTCCTCCCAAAATATTATATATATATTTTTTTAGGGGGGGTCGAGGGATATTTTTTACGGATACTTTAGAAATAATGTACTAATTGATATTAAAGGGAGGCATATTTTGCTATTTTCCTTATTCTCATTTACTTCTCTTCTTTCGGTCTTTCTCTTCTCTTCCTCTTATCTCCCCCACCCCCCCCTCTCCTCCTCTCTCACTGCCATAAGCTCTTGGGTCGCCTGATATTGCACTTGTAAATCTGTTGTGTAAAACGCAACACGATGCCCAATAAATCCCACTGCGTGCATGTTGCTTCTCCATATTGGCAAGGCACCGGGTCTACCTCCGCCACGGTGCATGATATCTTAGAAGCGAGGGAAACAAATAATGAAAGACTAAAGGTAAAGGAGGAGGAAGTAGAAGAGAAGAGGGGGGATAAATTAGTGGGGATAAGGGGAAAAAATCACGACTGGAAGGGAGTATTAGATGTACAATATAAAAAACAAAACACAAAGTTGGTTAAATTGTTGTGTCAGGGTGATGGCTAGGCTCTATAGGGTGGAGGATGAACCGACCGACGGGGCTATGTGTAGAAGAGAAGAGAAGAGGGTAGCTAATTGAAGAAGAAGTGGAATGGGGGTGGATTAAGTGCAGAAATAAAAGCGTGTAGAAAACATCAAGTCCCTCAGAAGAAAAGACAAGAGAGTGAGTGAGTGGTAGAGTGGGGAGGATACTGGCTAGGCTAACACACACACCCACACAAGAACTAGAGCCAAGGTTCGCCGATTGTGTTCAGACGCGTGGCCTGTTCCCCCTCTCCCAGCTGTAGGTTTTGTGGCTCTCCTGCTGTTTTTCGCCGCTGGAGAACTGACGTGGGAAGAAAATCAGTTGCGGCATATTTAGGATGGGCTGCCAGTAACGTACACTTCTCTCAGGAGGGGGAAAAAACATATTAGTTCTTCTTTGTTAAGGCAAGCGAAAACTTTTCCCCTGGTCGATTAGTTGGCTCAGTTTTTAGGCAGTGGGTGGTGGTGGTGGTGTGTGGTTCTCATGCTTGTGAGTGATCGGCTTTGTTATTATATCTTGGAAGTTGAGTTTCTGGGAGGGGGAGAAATTCTAGTCTGAAGGCGGTAAAATTATTAACTCCGGGCCTGCAAGGGTTCATGCTAGACTGTTGTATTTTGCATTTTTTTCCCCTCGCTTCGGATGTGTGAACTAAACTAACTTTAATCACACTTGGCAGGTGGGCTGGGTGGTAGCTGGAAAAACAAATTGATTTAATTTCAGAAAATGTAGGTCAGAGGTTAAGGGTAAACTAACCTAACTGACATTAAAACAGATGGTCAGATTTTAATGAAATTTAGCGCCTGAGTTAGATGTTGCTCGGCTAAATTATCTACCGAGTTAAAATTAATCCTCCTGATTTTTTTATTTTTTTATTCAGTGTGTGTGTGTGTGTGTGTGTGTGTGTGTGTGTGTGTGTGTGTGTGTGTGTGTGTGTGTGTAAACTAAACAGGACACTCGCATAAACAAACAGAGGGACAGACAGACTAATACAGCTTCACTTATAAACCTCACAGCCATGCAGCGGGGAGACTCACTGACCAAAAATTCCACAGGACATTCCACGCAGACTGACAGACAAACACCACACACCACCACAACCACCCCCTTCCTCACTCCTACCGTCATCCACCCCCTTCCTCACTCCTACCGTCATCCACCCCTTCCTCCCTCCACCGTCATCCACCCCTTCCTCCTCCTACTCATCCACCCCTACATCGTCATCCACCCCTTCCTCCTCCTACCGTCATCCACCCCTTCCTCCTCCTACATCCACCCCTTCCTCCTCCCCGTCATCCACCCCTTCCTCACTCCCACCCAACCTCATCCACCTTCCTCCTCTCCCGTCATCACCCCTTCCTCCACTCCTACCATCCACCCCTTCCTCACTCCTACCGTCACCTCCTCACCCCCGTCAGTCATCCACCCCTTCCTCACTCCTACCGTCATCCACCCTACCCCTCCTTCACTCTCCTTCCCTCCCTCCTTCACCCACCCAACCAACCTCTCCCGAGTAGCCGTGACCTTGCATATGTAGACTGGTTATTGTATTCTTTTATTCCCTAATAGAGCCAATTAGGGCAGACACGGGAAAAAGAATGAGTAGGGATAAAAATATAACCAGGTAGACTTAACTGAACAGTGATGACGGGGCCTTAAAGTGGACCGTGTATTTTTGGACGCCATTTTTGTTTACGCCTTTTTTTTTTACGGGATTTATATTTGACGTTCAATAGTGTTTTTTTTTGTAATTTTTTTGTATTTGGTTAATGTAAGATCTTATCGTTGACGTATGATTAAAATCTATTATATAATGTATTTTTGTTTTTATATTTAGTGTATTTATTAAAACTATATTGATGTTAATGGGTTACGGTTTCTTAACAGCTGAAGTGTTCCGGTAAGCGCGTATGGTGGAAGTTCGTTAACGCGCTAGTGTTTTAGCTATTAAATGTTGAGAAATAATAGCAAGTTGTTGTTGAGAAGCTATTATGGTATATCTTGATGACTTAATGAGTAGTGCTGCAAGATGCTAGCCGCCATGGAAGCGCCTCAGCTCATTAATTAACGCACTAATATATTTCCTCAATTAAGTGTTGGGAGGTGAGAGGCGGTTGTGTTCATCAGTGATTATAATGTTTACATACTTCAGGGTGTCGTGGGTCTGTGTATTCCTCCGCCATTACTTGTTTACTTTGATTTTATTTTTGTATTGATTTCTTATCTTAATTTTACGAGTTAATGATTCTGTACTGGGACTATATTAAATTTGTAGAATATTTGTTTTAATGTTCCAATATTTTTTGATTAATTATAAATATTTATTTTTTATATTAATTTTTATTGTCATCTTATCTATATTCCTAATATATAGATGATTTAACTATATGCCTCTATATACGAGTACATACTTGTGTTTCGGTGTTTGACTAAGTGTACGCATGTTATTATTATTATTAGTAGTAGTAGTAGTAGTCATATTATTATTATTATTATTATTATTGTTGTTGTTGCTGTTATTATCAATTTATTTGTATCATTATTACCATATATTCACTTGTTCTATCTTACCTGTATGTGTAATTAGGAGATAATCTTATTAACTAATTATCTCTCCGTTTATTACCTTTACGTCTTCTCTTGCATTATGTTTTTATTTAGTCATTCGTCTTCTTCCTTCACCTCCTGTCATTCATTATCTTCCCGATATTCTCCCTTCTCTTGCGTCTCCCTGTTCTTGTTAATGCACCCGTTTCTCTCTCTCTCTCTCTCTCTCTCTCTCTCTCTCTCTCCGTGTGTCCTGTTTCCCCCTTTCGTCAAATTCTCCTGATTTATTCACCCTTCTTATTCCCCTCATTATCTGTCCCCATTCATTAAGGATGTTGTTGGCAAGTTCCTCTCTCTCTCTCTCTCTCTCTCTCTCTCTCTCTCTCTCTCTCTCTCTCTCTCTCTCTCTCTCTCTCTCTCTCTCTCTCTCTCTCTCTCTCTCTCTCTCTCTCTCTCTCTCTCTCTCTCTCTCTCTTGTACTCCACGCCATTATCACCTCCTTTTCTTTGTTTTCGTATTTCTTCCCCCTCTTCTGCATCTGTCTGTCTGTTTGTCTGCCTGTCTCTTCCTCTATTCAAACCAGGTTTCCTCCCTGTACTTTTACCACATTTCTCTCCCTCTCCCAATTCTACGACTCTCCCTCTGTCTATCTACCCCTGCCGCTCTCCCTTCCTCCTCCCTCCTTCATCTCTGCCACTCTTCCTTCCTCCCTCGTCTCTTCCCTCTCTCCTCCTTCTCCCTCTCTCTACTCCTGCCTCCCCCTCTCTTCCCTCCTCCTCCATCCCACCCCAATTCTCCTCCTCTCTCGTCTCGTAGCACTTTTGCCCCCCACCACTCTGCCATCCCCTCCCTCCCTCACTCCTCTCCTCCTCCCCTCCCTTACCTCCAACCCTCACCCCTCCCTCCTCACCCCCAACCCTCACCCCAACCCTCCTCGGCAGCTCCTCCACAGGAAAAAGTAAGAACTCGACAGTAATTAGCTGCTCACATTCAGTCGTGTGTGTGTGTGTGTGTGTGTGTGTGTGTCTGTCTCCAGTGGACGACCCGTACCCTCCTCCTCCTCCTCAGTGTCTCGCCTCCAGTCTTGAAAAAAACACCTGGAGGAGACTCGATGCTCTTCTCTTCGTCGAGAA